TATAATGTGGTTGTTGTTCAATTTCAGTGCTAATATTATGAGCACGTTTCATAATGTGAAGCACTAATCCACGCTAAAGAAATAGTGTAAAAATGAAACAAAAAAAAAGAAAACGCTTGTTTTTTTCTAAATATAATTACGTACAAGAACTTTTGATTCTGGTTTATCCGTACATGGAATAATATAAATAATATCGACTGGAAATTCGCCTTCACGATTTGTACGATCATTGATACCGGTTAGAAAACCTGATTCCAAATTTTTTTTACTTTCATCATCCAATATCACAATATCACCACGTAATAATTCTAATTTTCCAGCACCACGTTCTAGTAAAAAGTAAAAAATAAAATAAAAATATACCATATGTTATTATTATAAAGATTAATAATATAGAACATACTTGCTGGTTTATAATCTTTTTGAGCAATACCCATTCGTGATCGATCTTTCAAATTTGAATGAATTGATTTCAATAATGTTTCTAAATCAGCTCCCATTGCTAATGTAAACGTATAATCACCATAAACAGTTTCTAACGTATAATGATAATAATTTAATACATGATCACTGTAAGAAAACAAATATTTTTATAATATAAAAAATAATAATAAAAATTGGATATAATAAAAACTTACTGATCTTTTCTTATCGATGTTATTTCTGGATAACGTATTTCACCTAAACTAATTTGTGTTTCTTTAGAAAAAAAATGAATCATATCTTTTCCAATTGATAAACCAGCAGCTGGTACTTCGTCAATTAATGGTCCGGATAATGTTGATATTTCAAATACACGTGAAAATATCATGGGCCATTTTTGTTGAGCATACATGATAACATCTTTTTTTATTTCTCGACGAATTTGTTCACGAGATTTAAATTTTTGTTTTAAACGCTATTAATGGAAAGAAATTGATTAATAGACTTTTTGTATTATAATTCAAAAATTTGTATTAGTATTATTATCATCAAGCTATATTAATATTGTATATTTTACCTTGATAACTCGTTTGAACTAAGAAAAAATAGTCAAGATGATTATGATTTATAATTAAGAATAGATATTATTCAATTATTCACTTCTCCATCTTTTTGGATTGCTTTTTGTACAATAGCATCAATTTGTTTTTCTGTTAATACTGGTTTTATTTTTTGATTATTATCAGGTAATCCGGGTGGGGATGGTGTTAACTCTTGAACAATTTGTTTCATTTTATCTGGTTCTATATCTTTTCCATGTACTATGTAATAATGTTGTACAATTAATAAAACAAATTCTGTTTCATCTGCCACAGGCTCATACGTATAAATATTAGCTCGGATTCCTTTAGATGACAGAAAATAATAATAAAAAAAAAAAATGAAATAGATTTATAATAATATTTTTTATTTCATCCTACCATTAATTATTTGGTCATAAATATAATCGATAGCTATTGGATCATCATCGAGATTTTCCCATGGAGCAAATATTTGTTTACAAAATACATATTGTATTTCCACAGGTCTTTCAACTTCACCTTTTAATTCGATTTGACCCATTTCTATTCGTGATAATATATCAAATACATGATCATTATTAAAACCAATTGAATAACCCTAAAAAATATACAGAAAAGTAAATAATAATCAGAGATATATTCGAATAAGAGAGATTATTTACTTCTGTTTTATATTGTGCATATAATGACCATCCAAATGTTGCCTTGATCTCTAATTGTCGGGCTAATTCTGCGCAAGCTTCTTCAGCTGTTGTTGCTGGATCAGAACAAACATTTTTAACTATATCACCATGTATTATATTCGCTTTAATTTCCATTGGTTGTGCTTTTTGTAAACCCTAAATAATTATCATGTAATTTTTACTATTCACAGATAAAATAAATTGACTTACTTCAATTTCTTCCATACTTAATGGTTCATTTCTAGAACCATTTTTATATGTACGTTTTAAGGCAAATTCACAAAATTCTGCTAATTGATCAGGAGCCTTTTGAATAAAATTACGTAAAAAGCGTACCAACTAAAAGAGATAAAAATTAAGTAAACGAAAATAAATTAAATAAATTTTTACATTTGAACTTGGTGGAAATGTACATAGACATAATGAAAGTAAAAACCATCCACGTATATACGAACGTTGACGTTGTTCCATTTTTTCGGAATTTTTACTTTTTTTATCCCGTTTTGCTGGATGATCAGTGAGTTGTTTACATAACTGACAGAATATTTCATCTCTAAATAAGGTGTAATTTAGAAAATATTTTTATTTTTAGATTAATTTTTCTTCTCACCTCAATCGTGGACGAATGATACCTAACATTGATATCATTTGAACTTTTTCTAATGATGTTAAAGCACGATCTTCACGAAATGGATTGTCTCGTTTGAGACGTTCTTCAAAATAAACTGATTTTTTTCTCATAGCTCGTATGCGATCAAGAGCTTTTGCACGAATACTCCGTTTCTTTTTCTTAAAATGTTATATAAACACAATAAACATTGAATAATATAGAGAAATTCTTAGTCTCGATTACCCTTTCATGTGGATCATCTTGTTCCTCAAGTTTTATTTCCAACTGATGAGCGATAAGTGGATATAATACTGGTATCATTATTTCATATTGAGACTAAAAAGAATTGTATTGGCTTAGTATATAGAACGAGAGTTGTTGTTTGTAGTCACATTTGAACTCACATCAAGTCTTTTTAATTCTTTATCATCTTTTTTTTCGGTCGATCTTGGTGTTTCTACATCATCTTTGTCGCCCATAAATCTCATAATTATTTCAAAAAGAGCTTCAGCAGCCTAAAAGTAGCCAATTGTTGTTATTTTTTCTCATTTCAAAAATTCACAGTTATTATTACTTGTTGATCAACAGGTGATTTTAAATTCAATAGTGATTTAGCTATTTCTTTATCTGAAAAACTTGCATCATTTCCATGTTGAAAATATTTAGCAGCAAATTTTTCAAAATTATGTCGTTGAACATCACTTTTAAATGGATCTAATTCACGTTTTAATCTTTCTTTCTAGAAAAAAATACTTATGCTCATTTTTTTCCTCAAACTCATTATCATATGTAGTAGAATCGTCGACTAACTTTTGTGGAACCTTCAAGGTCACCATTTTCATCATAATCCTTTCCACTTCGACCTGCTCGTTTTTCTCTTGCATTTGCAATATCTTGTCGTTCTTGTTCATGAATTTCTTCCTCCAAATTTGCCAAACGTTCCTACATCACCAAAAGAAAAAAGCATAGACACTTATAAAATGTCAGATATTTCCTCTTTCATACTTGATAAGCTGCTTCTGCTGCTTCTCGCGCCTTCTCTGGGCCTAATTCAGGCGTTAAGCGTTGTTCTTCTTCATAACGAAAATTTTCTAATTCTTCCATTTTCATAGCCTTAATACACAAACTATCATCAGTCTAAGATATTGATCTATTTATAATCATTTTACTCTGATTTGGTGTCGTCGAACATCTCTCCAAGCTAAATACTGTAAACCTTTCTCTTGTAGAATTTTAATTGCTTGTGGGCGAAATTTTGCATGTCGTCGAGCTAGCGCACCTTTACATAATAACTGAACATAACAAAACATATATAATTCTTTTCTAATATCATGATACTGATGTTACATACTTGAAGTTTTGGTAATGTTTCAACATAGAATTGTTTTTTTACATCAATATGCTGCATATCGTATACAGCTTGTAAACGTCGAAAACCATGTCGCATCTGAATAAAAACATTAATCAAAATAACAATAAACTCTAAATTACAATATATCTTACTTCACAATAGGCTTTTCGTTCAGCGTAGCATGTCCATGTTTGTTGTAACCATCTTGCTAATTTTTTCGCTCGCTCAAATTGTCGTTCAGCATAATAACGACGAACGGCTTTTTGTAATGCCAGTATACGATCAGCAATCAATTTTTGTCGCACTTGTTCCAACATCATGTCATGTTCATCCTAGCAAAATAAATATCAGGTAATATGGAAGATATTTCATTTAAAAATTATTTACTTTTAAAAACACTTTTGTTTTTCCAATTTGATAATCTTGACCAGCCAAAGCTATTTCACATATTTTTGCCGCTAGTGCACGTTGATTACCTCGATCACCTCTTTCTTCTGATATTTTATGCAATTTCTCAATTGCTGGTGCAATAGCAGCATAACGATGCACAAATTCGTTAAAATTATGGCGAATTGGATAACCGAGTTTGCGAATATTGATTGTTTCCATCATACCACTGTAACGTAATTGTTGAACAACACGTTCGCGATCAAAATTCTGTTAAAAAAGAAATGATAAATATGATTTAGTTATATTCATATCATACATTTATTAAAAATGTTTACTTACATGTACAGCTTTAAATTCATTCGGTTTAATACAACGGATGAAAAATGGTTCACATTTACGTAATGCAGCTAATAATGTTTCTAATGATTTTCGAAATTGATTCGCAAGTGATGGTTTTCGTTTTTGATCATCCTATCATTAACATAGATATATAACATGAAATATAGATAAATTGACAAAACGTACCAAATTCAATAATTCGATTGGAAATATTGTTTTTATCAGACGATTTTCACTTTTAGATAAAACAGCTTTCAAATCATTACTGAATGTATCACGATTTTTTTCAAGAAAATCTAAAATTATTTTAATTTATATTTAATTCAATAAATTATAGTATATTTTAGAAAATGTAAAAACGTACTGGTACAATCATAGGGAACGGGTCCAGCAAAATGTTTTANCAAAACGTACCAAATTCAATAATTCGATTGGAAATATTGTTTTTATCAGACGATTTTCACTTTTAGATAAAACAGCTTTCAAATCATTACTGAATGTATCACGATTTTTTTCAAGAAAATCTAAAATTATTTTAATTTATATTTAATTCAATAAATTATAGTATATTTTAGAAAATGTAAAAACGTACTGGTACAATCATAGGGAACGGGTCCAGCAAAATGTTTTATTAGAAAGTTCAATATGGATGAACGATGTTCAATGTAGTATCTTAATATTAATATTTTATAGACGTCATAATTAAATAATTCATACACCAAACATCAATTGTTTTCCACCTTGTCTTGTTGATGAAATATAATGTGCATTTTTACCATGATGTTGAGTTAATTTATTACATAAGGTTTCATCAGTACCCTGCAAATGAATATACAGTATCAATGATAGATAACAAAAAAAAACGAAAAATCAGTTTATTATTTACCTGAGGATAAATTGTTTCTTCATCAATAAGACTAATTATACTTAATTTACCTCTTGCTAATAAATTCAATATGTCTTCATTATCTTTAAAGGCAATTTTTGCCCAATTGACTCCTTCTTTCTCATATTCTATCTGTTCAAGTTTAAATACATGATGAACAAAAAATTGTTGGAGTTCTTCATTCGTATAATTAATACATAATTGTTCAAAACTGAAAAGTTTAACTTATAAGTCAGAAAAATCAAGTGTATGAGTGAATTGCATTGGCATTGTACCGTTTCGAAAAAAAACTCGGAAAAAAACAATTTGCGAATAAAAAAATTCTGAATTAGATATTAGATAGTACTACTTTCGAGGTTTATGGAAAAAGAAATTTCCAGCACTTGGTCGTATATTGGCTGAGAAATTTGATTTTTTCCAAGAGCTTCGAAGGCCGTTTTCACCTTCTATTAAAAAAGTCACTATTCTCACTCAATAAACATCAGAACTAGTTCAGACCTTCAGGATGTGGTTAATTTTCTCCGCTAAACATGATAGCAAGACCGAAAAAATCGAAAAAGCATATTTGTATTAATGGGTATTACAGAAACCTTTTTGAAAAACCTTAAGGTTTTGTAAAATTTCTTTTGAGATCTCCTATCAATAGGATATAGAGTAGCTTAAATACTCTACATTCTGAAGACTTGAATTCGTTCTGATGTTTATTGAGTGAATAGTGAGTTTTTTAATAGAAGCTGAAAACAGCCTGAAAACCCAAATTTTCGTAAAACTCGCTTTTCGTTAGACTTCTAGAACTTTTTCTAAAAATGAATATTGCCACAAGATTCAGCATGATCGATTACCTGTAGTCTGTCCGTTTGCAAGGCTACCAATAGTCACCGGGTGCCAGTCCTGGGACTCGTCGGAAACCCGACACAACACCTGAGCCGCGAAAAATCAAGGTCTCGTTTGACTCTCATTTTGATTCATCAGATAGATCACGCTGACTTCAAGGAATCTATTGATGTATTATGAGTATCAGTTATACCCAGTTTTGATCAAGTTATAGACAGAATAAATCTCGCAGGACATTTTTGATGTTAACTGCACTTTTCTCAGGAACGAAGTGTTTTCGAAAGCTCGTTTTTTTATCACATACTAATCGTCCAAGAAGGAAAAAAGGATTTGAAAATTTTTTAAATCATTTGTGTCGTATGGCGACCGTCTTAAAGTCTCGCAGGACAAAATTTTGAAAAGTGTCTGTAACAGCAGTTTTTCCTCGAGCTTTTATGGGAAACTTAATTTTACTTGAAATCAAAGTACATAATTTGAAAGCTGGGTTACAAATTCTATTAAATTATAATTCAGTAATCTTTAAATAGGGTGGAGGAAAACTCCCGTTTCTTTCGAGAGGCGGCGCCAAAATCACTCTGTTTTGGCCTTGTTTCGTTCATATCTCGACAACCAAATGAGATGGAAACTTTTTTTTTTCAGTACTGAATAACCATCTTTAAACGAACAAAGCAAAAAAAATATTAAGTTTTGTTCCGTAGAACAACTTTTATAAGCAAAACAATCGGTGAACAGCAACGACACAATACCAATCCAATTCACTCATATATTTCTACATACCTATTTTTATCAAAATTTTCAAATCCAAATATGTCCAAAACACCAATCGATCTTAAAGTGTCATCTGGTTTTATATCACTGTTATCCGAATTCATGGCCATATTAATTCTATCAATTAACCATTCGAATAATTGACCATAGATACCTTTTACAAATGCATCACTAGCAATAACAGAATCGGTATCAAAATATGTTGTGAATAAATTCTTTTTTTAAACGTACCGAACATCAATTGCTGATGCCGTTGTTAATGCTCGTACTACTTTGCCTTGTCCTTGAACAACCAGTGTCCGTGTTGTTAACGCTTTGTTCAATTGTTCAGCATCAACCTATATCATCATTTTGTTTAAAATTTGTATCATTCAATAATGATAAATGTTGATAATTCTTACTTTTAACAATGATGCAATTACTTGTAACAGTTTAATATCTTTAATTGTAACACTGTCCATGTTTGACTTTGTTTGAACTATTTATATTCAAAATAGAAAATAGAGAAATTGTTATTTTTATATAATTTCAATACAAACCATTGTATTGTAAATTTCCCAAATGTAATACAACCGCTAATATTCGAAATATTTCAGATAATTCATCATCGCTAAACATCAACACTTTACACGCATTACGAATTGCTTTCCATTCGTCAGCATCATTACGTGTATCAACTTTTATTGAACTCTAAGAAACAAATCAACACAATAATCAATTTTCTATTGAAGTAGACATAAACATTTACCTTATTTAAATAGGCATAATCTTGTGGCTTTGTTAAACTTAGTTTAGCTCTTTCATCATTTCCTATACCGGCTAATAAACAATAGAAGATATGGTAGTTACGTTCATCTTTGGCCTATAAATCAATAGAAGAAGTTATATATTGTAAATTATAAAATTGAAATTTGTCTTACTTGTGATACAATACGCGATTTTTCCAATAAATATTGATCAATTTTTGCTCGACCAATAGAGCCATGTTCATCAAAAAAAATTGTAATATATTTTCCAAATCGACTACTGTTATCGTTACGAATTGTTTTTGCATTGCCGAAAGCTGAATTAAAAGAAAATATGATAACATAATATTTTATCTAATAACTATCAATATCACCTTCCATAATTGGATTTGCTTCTAATATTTGCTGTTCGATACTTGAATTTTTTTTGGTACCACTAATGGCTGCCAAGCATTGAAGAATATGCTTTGTTGACTCTGTTTTACCGGCACCAGATTCACCACTAAAAGTTTTTTAATTAAATTTTTAATCTATAAAAAAGTAATCTTTTACTAACCTAATTATAACACATTGATTGTGTCTTGCATTTGGATCGGTATTGTCTCTCAACATATTCTGATAGGCATTATCACCGGTAGCAAATGTATGCGGTTCCAATTCACCAAACTTTTTATTTCTATAAGCTCTTAAATAATCTGCATTATACACATTGAGTACTTGATAAGGATTAACGGCAATTAGAATTGAACCAATGTATGTCTGCGATCATAGCAATATAATCTTAGTAAATATATGTAGGAATAATCACTATTTTTACTTACATAGATATTATCTTTGTAATAGCGCAATAGTAAATTTCTGCATATTGCACCTTCTGTTAAATCTCCAAGATGAATCATATCTGGTATATCTTGAAATGATGTTTTATGCATGTTCTTATACGCTCCCGGAACATTTTTAATAATTCGTTCCTATATATATATATATCAAGTGACTTATTCCGTTATTAGGAATGGAAAACGTTAGAGATAAACAAACCTTTCCATTATCATCAATAACTTTAAGCTGAGTTTGTTGAGCATCGATAACTTTCGCACCAATTTCAACATCAAATTCACCATTTTTATCTGGTGGAAGCCAAATATATTGACTCTAAATTAAATTCAAAACCTCACAAAATTAGTTTTCTCGAATCAGTTAAAATTTTTCCGAAAATATTTGAAAGCTCTTTTTGATCTATTACGTACCGCTATCTGCGCCATTTTTGGGCAAAATATAACTTCTAAATGATGAATCTACACTGCTATTTAAAATATGCACTGAAGAAGAAAAAGCTAAATTGAATAATAAAGTCAGGTAAAGGAATGATGACAAAAAAGTCGATCATGCGGAAATCGCACATTTTCTATCGGTAAGACATCCGTTCGTGTATCACTTTATCTCAGACTCCTACTATTCTTACTCATACACCTAGTTTGCAAAATACTTATGACTGATTTGGCAAAATTACCAAGTATGGATTTCTGTAATTTTCAGCTTAGTAGATTCTAGAAGGATAATCAGTTGTAAACGAAGATTTTGAAATTAAATTGAGCATAAGCTAAACTTGATTCAAGGATAAGTTGACGTGTGTGTGTGTATCTCGTTTTATAGTCAGCTTTTGAACTTTGAGAAATACAGTATGAGACAACCATCTAACGCAATACAGAATGTGGCGCCCTCTTTATAATGGGTGTTTCCCTCTATTTGCAAGTGTTTAAAGAGGTTCCTTCGAAAAAAGCGATTGATTTCTCGTTCACAGCCAATGAATGAGGTTAATGACGTATCCTGTGAATACGATCATAGGTTCATTTTGCTTTTACTCGGCTTATAATCGTAGATGATTTTTCTTTTACCCATTGGTCAATATCTTTCTCACTGTCACTAAATTTTCCATCTGAAGTCTAAATAGTCTCTTTCTGTGTACTTATGATCAAAACTGACAAAGAAAAGTTATTTCTACATGTAGTTTTACTTTTTAACCTATTTCACATGCGATGAGAGGTAGAACACGCGATTTCTCTTAAGTTAGCCGAGTTAAAATTCTTAGATATTCTTTGAATTGCTTGAGTTTAATGACGTTCTTGTTTCGTTCATCTTTCTCGCATAATCCATTCCCATCAGCCATCATAGTTCTAAATCTATTTCGAAGGAAATTGTCACAAATAATTTGAAAAATTGAAGAACATGATCATTTAAATAGCACATTGCAATTTGTTCAAAATGATCTCCAACTAATACATATAACATATCACAAGTGAATATTCATCTCTTTAGAATTTTACTTAACTCTGTTTTAGATATACATCGGTATGGCATCTTCTTCGTCAGATGGGAGTTATGAAAGTATTGGCCTTGTTAAACCAGAAGTATATGTTTATGTCATTCCACCACGCCAATCAACAACACGTAAACATCGTGCAGCCGATTGGAAACTAGATCAACCAAATTTTATTTGTCGTTTAAAAATTATCTCAAAAGGTGATCAATGTCTCATTCGTTTAGAAGATCGAAATACAGGTCAACATTTTGCCACATGTCCAGTTGAATCTTATCCATCGATAGCTGTTGAAAATGTCGAAGATTCTACAAGATATTTTGTTATTCGTGTTCAAAATGATAATGGTCAACAAGCATTCCTTGGCATGGGTTTTAATGATCGCAGTGATTCATTTGATTTTAATGTTGCATTACAAGATCATTTTAAATATTTAAAACAAGCAAAACAAATTGAACAAGAACAAAAACATCCTGAAACTATTGTTGATCAACATCCAAAATTAGATTTGAGTTTTAAAGAAGGGCAAACAATAAAAATTAATTTGAAAAGTGGTGCAACGGGCAATGAAGCAGAACGTAAACCAGGAGTCGTAAAAAAAAATGTAACAAGTGGTAAAGATAACAATATTGCTTTGCTACCACCACCACCTGGTTATACAATTCCAAAACTCACACCACCACCCAAAGCACAAGTTTTAATTAATCCACAGGAAACGATTCAACAGCAATCATCGCAAGAGGTTACTCCTCCCTCAAACACAAATAACAATTCGAATATTCATTCAGATCTAAGTTGGATGCAGTTTTAAAACGGTTGAATTTGCAATAAACTTGTCCTGGTTCGATTTTTCTTTGCTGATCTTGTCAAATATAATAGAATTTTTTCTTTTTTTTACCGAAATATGATTGTATAGAGGAAAGAATTTTTTTGTTCGTTCTATTTTTGTCTTTTGTCTCATTCTCTCGTTTATAATAATTTTAATTTAACTGCATATTTCAGTTTTTTTCGTTATGGAAATATATATCTATGTATTTATCATTAAAAGACGATTGAAAAATATGTAAAGCAAGCAAGATTGGGCTTATTTGACTGCAGAAAATTTATTATTGTTTTTCTATTCATTTTGGAGACATCCTGACAACAATGAAATTGAAAAAAAAATCATTTTAATGGAAAAGATCAGTTTAATATAATAATGATAATGCTGTTTGATTCAAGGGATAGACGACAAGATAAACAAGGAGGACCTATTAAATAGGTACCACAGAAGGTAAGCACAGTTTAAAATCTTGTTTTTATTATTCGAAACAACTTTATTAAATTTAAGATGTACGTATCGGCGATTATGTTTTTGGTATTACTTTGATGATGCTAGCACGTATTGATAATTCGGGTATCATCATGTTGTTGTCTAAAGTTATTCAAAATTTTGTGACAGATACATGATTTTTTGTCAAAAACTCTTACCGATGCATACATTATGTGAGAAATTTTGCCTGAGATAAATTTGTACAATTGAATAGGAAAGAAAAAATTATTTAAACAAAGCATATTGTAAAATAGCACGGTTATTTTCCAATTCTTACAAAGCAATAAACATAGATGAAACTTGGTTGAGATGATTATAAGTTGTTTATTTTATGGATGATCTATTGGCACTCTCGGGGGTGTCAGCTAGGAGCTATTGGCACTCTCATGCAAAAACCTTTGCTGGGAGTGTCAACAAGCATGTCATCTGACATATGAGCGGTCCGATGTTCCTCGAACTATACTTTGATTTGCAAGATTCGGATTGTATATTCGCGTCGTCATGGACAACTCGCTCATCGGGAAGAGGGTGGGTGGATAGCGAGAGTAAGTGAAAAAGCTAAAAATCTAATAGATGAAAATTGATATTGACTTGCGAGTGTCAGTTAGGAGATCATTTGATATTTAACCAATGCAATCTGAAAAGCTCTCTTATACAGCCTACGGCAAGGTTAAACTTCTTTGAACTCACTTGCTTGCTGTAATCATGGTTGGATTGAGTGTTCAGCATGACACTGAATACTGGAAATTTTCGTCTTATTATAAGGTTTTGTTATACCAATTTTCATGTATTAGATTTTCAGCTCTTTCATTCACTCTTACTATCCACCTGCCCTCTTCCCTCCTCGATGAGTGAGATGCCTGTCAACATACGAATATACAACCAGAATCTTGTGAGTCAAAGTATAGTTCGATGAACGGTCAAACGTCAGGCTCATATGTCAGGTGACGTCTTTGCTGACACTCCCAGCAAAGTTTTGTGCATAGGAGTATCAATAGCTTCTAGTTGACACTCTCGAGAGTGTCAATAGTCATTCCGTCATTTGATTTTAAGGTAGCATTCTTAGCGACATCGTAAAAATATTCGGATATAGCTTACAATTTTGATATGGAATCCTAACTGATCCATAATCTCTTCGATGTGACGTCAGCTGATAGTGCTCTAGAAAAACTAGCAACAGTCAATCTTAAACGCGAATTCTTAAGGGTACCCCTCCCCTCTTTTTGGGCTTTCCGTAGAAATGCTATGAAATAAAAATTAAAAGTCGCTAGGGCTTCGCATTTTCAGAACTGATCGGAAACTCAATGGAGCACTTTTTCGTTCTTGTTTCAAGTTTTCAAGTATTGCCGTTCACCAGTTTTTCAGAAAACTCGATTTTTCATTGTGCCACATTACGACCCCCCTTAAATTTCGTCCAATCGCGTTCAAAATTTTACCAGAGGTACTCAAGACACTATTGCAGAGCTATTTTTTTGGAATTTTATTTTAGACTTTTCTTTACCGAGTTATAGGGTTTCTAAAATTGAAAAACTTGGTTTTTGAGACGTTTTTCAGTATTTTTCCTATAACTCGACCAGGAAAAGTCTGAAAAAAATTTCCGAAAAATTAGCTCTGCGGAATGACCTTGAGTACCTCTGGTAACATTTTGAACGTGATCGGATGAAATTTAAGGGGGGTCGTAATGTGGCACAATGAAAAATCGAGTTTTCTGAAAAACTGGTGAACGGCAATACTTGAAAACTTGAAACAAGAACGAAAAAGTGCTCCACTGAGTTTCCGATCAGTTCTGAAAATGCGAAGCCCTAGCGACTTTTAATTTTTATTTCATAGCATTTCTACGGAAAGCCCAAAAAGAGGGGAGGGGTACCCTTAATGCCACTCCTGCGTTCGCTTGTAAACACGTTAAGATATGTATTACTATCTTAGTAGTAGAATTTAAAATCTTTGAGCGAACAGTGGATAGCATGTAATTTTTTTCAAATTATATATTCTGTAGGTTTTTATACTCTTTTTTTTCGTTTCAGTATTCCCAATTAAAGAATCTTGTATTAACACGTTTCTTCGAACCCGATGATATTGAAAAAGTACTACATTACCAGATCAAGTAATTATTTAACTTTTTTTCCCGTAATCTTTATTGTATTCAATGTTTTGTTTCTTATAGTGCAATCATAAGCCTAAGACATATCGTACGACTGAAGTGTGTGCAAATAAAATGATGAGACAATTGAATATATAATGCGCTTTTAATTTATTTAACATGAACCGTGTTTAAAAGAACGACATCGAGGTTATTGTTTTTGGTTTTTTTTCCCTCGTCATTTTTCTTCTTTACCTACTGAAATATGGTGACAGGTCAATTTTTACTTTTCAACAGAATACATAATGCTTCAGAGTATTATAATTACAAGAAAATGTCTCATATACAAAGTCATTTTGAACAACTCCAATAATAGTTGAAGCAAGTATATGCGTTGAAAGAAGCTCAAAATTGCGAATGTATGCAACCTGGTTGTATAAGGTATCGCTCACGGTTAATAAACAACGCGAGTGTTTTACGCATCTATACAAGAAGTACAGTTACTGTTTAAATAAACACTTAAAAGTTTAATTGTATATTCGATGAATTAAGCGAAGAATTTTGATATTTCATCAAGTGACGATGTCTTACATTCAAAATGTTTCAGCTGTTCGAGCTAAAAATGATATTAAAGAAAAACATTTTAGTCAAAGAAGAATACATGACACTGCACTTGTTGTTACTCTTATCACATTGCAAGTAAAAATAATAAAAATAATATTATTTATATATCAGTTGATTTGAGTGAAAACGGAAAAAGCAGCACTAACAGATGCTATAAAGAATAGATTATTTCTTATTTTGCATGTATTATTTATGTCTTTAGTTCAAAAGGCTTCAGTTTCTTTTCAAAAGAATCACTATTAAATTGTTTACAAGAATATATTAAAAAGTTCTGAATAAAATGCAAACGTGAAAAATTATGAGATATTCCGAAATTATCCCAATACAACGATGTCTATTGATTATAGCAGAAAAATAGAGATTTTTAAGACTGACTACTGTCTATTTCAAATTAAAAGGCAGTTGGTTAGTTTTTGAATAACTCGAGATCGAAAAGAGAGATAAAGACTTGCGGTTTTCACTGCTCGATAGTCAAGAGTTTAATGCATCTTTTCGTAATCAAAATGAATTTAAAAACTTTCTCAAAACCGGCTTTCTAGGAGATCTCGGAAAAACCGTTTCATAAGTCGAAAAGTTAAAATAGCCATCTATCGTTTTTTTCATGAGTAAATTAGTCAAACGTGTCCGTTTAAAAAATGGGAACTAAGCGAGACCTTGATTTTCACTGATTCGGACGTGGCATGGCATTTCTAAGAAGTCTCAAGGATGGCACTCAGTGGCTTGGAGTAACTTTCAAAATGCAACAGACATGCGTAATCAACCACACTGAATCTGATGGCAACGCTTATTATCGAAAAAAAAATCAGAAGTCTAATGAAAACTATGTTTTATAAAAAGTGGGATTTACAGGCTATTTTAAACTAAGGATAAAAAATTCAAAATTTACTCACAAGCATCAGAACCAGTTGAAAATTTCGGAATCTACGGTATTTATGCTATTCTACATCCTATTCATACCAAAATTATAAGAAAAGATTGAAAATCTTATGGTTTTTCGAAAGAGTTTCTAGAAAACTGGTGAACGAACAAATTGTTCCTCAGTTTATGTGATTATATAATCGTGTTCAGAGGACAAAATTAACCATATCCCGAAATTTTCAACTGGTTCTGATGCTTGTGAGTAAATTTTGAATTTTTTATCCTTAGTTTAAAAT